CAACATTCCTTCTTTTATATGGACTTTTTTTTTTTTTTTATAAATATTTTCAATAGTTATACATTTTTTTGTTTTTTAAATATTTACAATATTTTTTAATATTTTTTTATTTAACATTTAGTGTTTCCATCTCATATTTATATTTTATTTAAATTTTTTATAATATGTAATATATTTACTATTTTATCCCAATTTTCGATAATTTTTTTAATTTGCATTTTATTTTATTTTAGTTTGTTTTAATTTACCAAAAATGTTTTAATAGTTTTCGTTTTAATTTAACATTTAGTGTTTCCATCTCATATTTATATTTTATTAAAATTTTTTATATTTCCTTTTTTTCCTATTTACTATTATTTTATCCCAATTTTCTATTGTTTTTATTTGCATTTTATTTTAGTTTAGTTTGTTTCAATTTAACAAAAATGTTTTCATAGTTTTTGTTTTAATTTAACATTTAGTGTTTCCATCTCATATTTATATTTTATTAAAATTTTTAATATTTCCTTTTTTTCCTATTTCCTATTATTTTATCCCAATTTTCTATTTTTTTATTTGCATTTTATTTTAGTTTATTTTGTTTCAATTTAACAAAAATGTTTTCATAGTTTTTGTTTTAATGTCACCTGTACCATAATAACCCTGGTTAACAACAAGGGCGAGTGACTTACAGAATTGCCCTTTTTAAGCTCAACTATTGCTTTATTGGCCGTTTACCTTCAGGAAGGGAATGACGAAGGGCCTCAGGGGGAAGTTTGTAGCTTCTTGCAGTCTGGAGTGAAACTCTTCAATGGTGACGGTGGAGTTCTGTGGGAGAAACACATCGCTTGTTAACTCTGGCTCACATCTGATCAAACGGTGCTCGTGAAAGGCGTGTGTGAGAGACGCACCACCAGCGCCAGCACCAGGTTTCGGACGCTCTCTCCGATCTCGGGCGAGATGTCGTTGCCGAACTGCTGCAGTGTTGTGAGGAAGCGCTTGAGTTTGCTCAGCTGTCGTGCGCCGCAGGTGGCTGGAAGCTGCTGATTGGCCAGAGAGGAGGAAGATGATGATGAAGGGCCATTGTTGTAGCGCTGAGGCGGCGAGGGAATGGCGTTGAGCATCGGCGGAGAATGATTGATCCCATTAGTCACTGCAGAAACAGAGAATGTGGTTAGCAATGATCTGCAAACACAGAATTAATCAACATTTTAGTATTATTTATATACGATAATAGTTTTTATTAATATTTCGAATTATCTTTTATATTTTATTATATTTTATGTTTCCAGTTTTTATTTTAATTTTAGTTTTCTTATGTGCTTTTGTCTTTTTTTAAATATTACTATTTGTGGCCCTGCAGCACAAAAGCAGTCTTAAGTCGCTGGGGTATATTTGTAGCAATAGCCAACAATACATTGTATGGGTC